AGATGCAAAGGCAGATTTTTGAGATGCGTGAGCGTATCTTAGGCCGATATCAGAGGTCACTGCAAGGTTGAAATACCTGTGACCCATTTCTGTGTGATCAAGTTGCCAGATGTAGTCAATAGAGTTTCTGGCAGTATTGGTATGCGTGAGAGAAATAGGTGAAAGTGCGGCTTGAGCGCGTGCAATTGATGATTGGCACATTTCAGTTGTTTGTTTGATGCAGTCATGTTGCAAGAGTGTGGAATGCCGTCATGTGGAATCTCGTTTTTTAAACGAAACGGAACAAACAAATGAAACACAAACAAATTTTGAGTGTTTTGTGCAATGCGCCTTGTTTTTGTTGCAGTTAGATTTTTGTTTGTTTGTCAGTTGGCGAGTGCAATTTTTGCGGAGATGGCTTGTTGAAGGGTTCTGATCAAACCACGGAGACATCCTCATTTCCTGAACATGTGCATGTCTGTCAATCGATTTTTTTTGAGTTGGTGCTGCATACAATAGGGATTGCACAGTGAACTCACGAGAACTTGTTTTAGTTTTAGGGATGGTGGCTGTTTTGGTGGTTTGTAGAGAGAAGGACAGTCAGGTTTTCCCCTGATTTTGCTGCTTTGGAAGTGAGGCCAGATTGTGTTGCATGTTGGAACTTGTGATACTGGTTCGCAAAATTCTGGTATGCTGGTGGCGTCCAGAATTTTGGGAAACAGTCTTGTGAATGATTTGTGTTGTTTAGTGACTTGTGTTGTTTGGCATGTCTTTCATGTTGGTATGATGGAAATGGAAGAATGCGGCTCTACCTTCAACAGGGATTGTCTGCCCGTGTCGTCCAAGCCTTGCATCGTAGACTCGCGAGGGTAGTCAGCATGGCAGGTGAAGGTGGACCCCACATTCATGGTGTGCCAGGGGAAGGTGAACTCCGTGGCAATGATGCGGAAGGAGACCGAGCTGACCGATCGAGATCACCAGCTCGAGCCGCGTTGGGAGCCCCTGGAGCCGCGTTGGAAGCCCCTGGAGCCGCGTTGGAAGTCCCTGGAATGCCAGCTGCAGAAGGCCGTGATGTGGAGGTTCCTCCAAACCCTGAGGATGTCATTGAGGATACCATTGGGGATCCCGAGATTTCGATGATGATGGCTTCAAAGGCCTTGGCGCAGAGTATCCTGGCATGCTCACGCCGAATTGCAGCCATGTCGGAAGAGCTGAACCAGGCCATGGAAGGGTACAATGAAGGACGCCTGGAATTAGTGAAAAGCCTGGGAAGTATCAAAGAGCAGCTTGCTCTTCATGCACATGGGGCAACGGCGATGGGTAGTACCGTTGCTCATCAAAGCAACGAGGTGAAAAAGCTGCTCGCTGCTTTCGATAAGTTCAGTCACATAGCCAAATGGTCGCTGAAAGGCAACAATACCCTTGAAGATAACATTGGCTCTGTGAAAGAAGAAGTGGAAAATCGAGGGGAGAAAATAGAACAGGCCATCAAGGTAGGCCTTGGAGAGGTGACTGGCCTCCTTCGAGATCTCATCCGGGTGATCGGAGAAAAGGGTGAACCAGATCCTTCGAAGGCCCCAGGGATGCCGATGCCTGAAAGGATGGAAGGTTACCCATCCTTCCCGCTTCAGAATGTTCCAAGCGGAGTTGGACAGGTGGGAACTCCTGCCACACCTGGTATGGCTGGAATGACTGGGGACACGGTTCCATCGTCCGTGCATGGACATGCCCCGAAGGGGGCGTCTGGACATGGATCCTCTGCAGGCGGAGTGCCAGTGCATGGAGCCCCAGGAGCCTCGGCATATGGACTGCCGACTAATGTGCAGCCACCACAGGTGGCGCCTCCTGCAGCGCCATCAGTGACTATGCCAGCAGGACTGATGACACCGCCTGCCCTGAGTCCCTGTTTGTGGGCTTCTGCCCTATCAACCCTGGGGAGCAGAGGCCGGCCATGTCTTTGCATCCTGGGCTGACTACGCCAGGCCAACGGCAAGGGGCTATCATGTCGAAAGATGCAACCAGCGGTGAAGTCCGCACGTTATCCCCTACGCCATACAAGGGTGCGCAAGTGAATGCCCTCATATCGCTTTGGGCACCAGGCGGCCTGGCCATGTTGCGCGATGGGCAACAACAGTGTCGTCGGGTGTATCAATAGAGATGCTGGTGCCGCCCTGGGATGACATCTGAGAGAGGCCTGAATATTTTTTTGTGAAGGATTAGCAGTTTTCTTTGCGGCAGAGAGAATAGCTAGTATCGGCTAGCTCGAGGTTCACTCTGGTGCACCATTGCTATGACTATGTCTGTGATTCAGACCTCCTGCACTGCAAAAGGGGGTGAGCCTGCAAGGTTTGATATTGCTTGGGATGAATCAGCTCTGGATTGGAACGGTGTCATGTTTGCGTTGTCCTTGGACATGCTTGTGAATTTGAGCATGTTTGTGAATTTGTTGTGAACTTGTGCATTGTGATTGATTCATTGTTGAGTGTGGTTTGTGTTTATCTGCCGCCGTTTTCCAAATGATGACAAGGCCAGACCTGATTCTTAATTGAGGAGAGTCAAAGTAGGTCCAGGCCAAACGTCTGATGGAAACCCTTGGAAGGTTTTGTTTTTGATTTTGAGCGTCTTGTGATTGATTTGATTGTGACATCAGTGGATTGGACATCCCTGACTTGAGATACATGTCAGTGTTGTTGAAATTGCCTTTGATAAGTTTGCGCATCTTGATGTCAGTGGAATGGATTTCCCTGGCGTTGTGAACATGTTCGTAGGTAGTGATTGTGAAGTTGCTTAGGTAGTTGTTTTCTTTGTTTGAACATGCAATAGATCAACTTTTATGATGGCCAGAATTCATTTGAAGTTTTTTGAAGGTTGATGGACTTTATCTCAAAAGGGGGGACAAGGTCCAGCCTTGGAAGTTTGCCCTGAGCTTAGTGCATCTCATGCCTAGCGTGCCCGAAACTTAGAACGCTTGGTATCTAAGGTGTTCCAAGCTTAGTGTATCTAGTCTATAGCTTGTCTGAGACCGAGTTTGCCTGGTGCATCAATGTATTCGTGTTCAAAACTTTACCACGAATATGGTTTTGGACTGTGAGTAGTTGAGGCTGATGACAGTTTTGCTTGTCTGACGCGTTTATCTTCCATTGGAGGATGCGGATTAGCTGAAACAGTCGGCCTTGGTTTTGTGTTGACTCCGACAGTGCTTCGTCTGTCTCCGTCTTGGATCTCGTGTGTGTGTGTTGTTGGGGTTTGTTGTTTGTTCTAGGGATCGTTTAACGTACTTGTTTCGTTTATGTTTTACGGGGTACTTTCAGATCATTGTTTCCCCTGAAACATTTTGGCTCAAGGACTTCAATCTTGTTTTGCGTTTTGCATGCTGTTTTAACTTAAAAAAAAAAGGGCAACAAATGGTGTCTAAGTGCGTCAACAAACTGCAGGATTCTTTTTTCCGTTTCACTGTCATGGTGTGGGTTGCGTCATTTTAAACGGTTTTTTCTCACTTCACTTGCTTTTAGGTCATTGACAGGACCTTTCACATCCCGGATAGCCGGGGCTTGCCACGCTGGCATTGCGTCGCCGGAACCCAGACTGGACAGAGATCTTTGCATCGCATTTCAGGTTAGAGTTGTGCACACTCATCGTCTCATACTTGTACGATCAAAATTCAGAAGATAGAACACTGCCCAGGGATATTTGGCGTTTTAGCTGGTGCTCCCATCGCATTTTTCGTTGTGCAGTTCGGTTTCGAGTCATCGAGACACCTTCAGTAGCTGATGGATCTTCCGATTGAAGACGGTTGGGACCTCATTTGTGATTCAGAGTCAATACAGCTGATGCAACCCACACCTAAGACATGCCCTTTGAGTCGTCCGGATATGCCAGTCCAACCTCGACTCCAGGCTAGTTTGCAGGTATCTCCAGTTCCAATTACAGCGGCACCCCAGTCAGTTCCAGCAGGTCCCAGATTGACTTTGGCGGCCATCTCAGTTGCAGAGCCCAGATCAACACCAGCGTATCAACCAATTCGAGGCAATTTGGTTCATCATGTTTCACATGTCAGTTCACCATACCTTAGAACCCATCGCACAGAGTATCACCCGGCCAGTTTGACCATGAGTTCACCACCATCCAGGTTGTCGGAGCCTTCAGTACCCACAAGGGTTTTTCCGGCGTTGTGTCCTAGTACAGAGAAAGCACTGCCTCGCCCTCCAGTGAACAAGGGTCATGTAGCCGTTGCTAAGCCCCAGCTGGTGCGGAGCTCAACATCGATTCAATTGACTCGATCAAAGCTGGCCAGTGACAATGCTTTTTTGGTTGAACTGTTCACCAGCTTATTGCAGCTTTTTGGCAATTCATCTGCAGTATATGTATCACTGCAATCCTCACCATATGCCGATGAACATCGCAAGAGACTTTTGAACAATTATGCTGCCACGACATCATTCCGCTATTTACAAGCGGTCCAGAAGTTTGCACGGGTTACTGCACAACTTGGATTGGACATGCATACCTTGTCAGAATCTCAGCTTGCAGACGTGCTGACCGTCATGAAGTTATCGAAGTCATGTGAGACTGACAGAGATGTGTGTTCAGGAAACTTTACAATCAAAGCATTGCGTTGGTGGCACAAAATTGCAGGAGTTTCTCATTTGATGATTTGTTTTTCTCCGTTGGTCGACAGCTTCTTGAAAACAAAACTGAGCAAAGACCGTCGAGAGGCACCTCCTCTCCCGCTGTGGTTGATTTTCCAATGGGAACGTAGAATCTTACAAGGGGCTTCCACTACATACGAAGTGATGATGCTTGGCTCCTTCCTTCTAATTACCTGGGCAGGTCTTCGATTTGCTGATGCACAGAGGTTGAACATTAGTTCATTGGTCTTCAATTTTCAGGAACTCCGTGGCTTGGTATGGAGATCAAAGACAATGGCGGCAGGACACCCTTTCGGGGCACAGGCGGCGGGACTTTGCAGCAAAGGGACATACACGTGGCTGTTTAAGTTTTTACAAACTTGGGACCAGGTGATGACAGCATTGCAGGTCCCACAGTCCAAGGTGGACTTTCTGATCCCGTCCATGGAGCCAGATGGAACATTTCAAGAGCTCGAACCACTGAATTATGCGGAGACAACACGAATTTTTCGTGAAATGCTGTTGACACCATGGAAGAAATTTCAGGATCAACATCCACTGGCTCACCTGCAACAAACATACACTCTACATTCAATGAAGGCTACTCTTTTGAGTTTTGGCCCACAGTTGGGCAACCTGGTCAGCGACTCAGACCGATTGCTGCAGGGTCACCACCAGGATCCCAAGCATTCACTGAATCTTTATGGCAGAGACAGCGTTTGGGGTTCCTTACGGTACCAATCAACCATCATCATGGAGATACACAAAGGGTGGCGGCCCAAGACAGCTCAACACAGGGGAGGACAATTTCCTCTGACGGAACCAACGGTCACTTTGGAACGGTTCCAGAAGACGGCACCAGACTATTCGTTTCAATGGCTTCCCTTTTCTAAGCCTGAAGATCCTCATGAAATCCTGCCTGAACCGGAGGTCGAACAGCTGGACTCAGACAACGACTCTTCGAGCATCAGCAGCCAGGGTGACAGTTCCAGTTCAGAGGCATTGGAGCCTATGGCACACACCACAACAGTGGTGCCCGACGAGGGTCAGGTTGACGAAGCCGTGTTTGCAAGGCATCGGAAAGTTACCCATGCCATGGTTGCGACAACGGACGATACTGAGTCCAGACCTTTCCACAGAAACCATTACTGGAGAGCAGCATGTGGCGCCAGGATGCTCCATTCAGAAACCGATTTCCTTGAGGACTTGCAACCACCCGTGGCATTTTGCCAACATGCAGGTTGCAAGAAAATTTGGAAAGCAGTCCAAATTGTTTGAGTTGCATCCAACAGCATAGCTTAAGACAAAAAAGGCAGATGCGCTCATCATTTCTTCAGCGTTTGATCATTGCGTCAATTGGAACAATCTCCTGCAGGAGGTTGAGCATCAGCATTTTCCATGGCCGAAGCCACCATACATGTCACTCATTCGCATGCATCCCATAGCCATTTTTATTTATATGCTCGTCCGCAGCCATTTTCAAAAAAAATGCTTTCAAAAAAAAAAACATGTCAGCCATACCATGACATCCCTCAGGACCATATCTCAGTTCAGCCCGGACCTCAATTGCAGTGCATCAGGATGTACCACATGACCAAATTTATTTTCGTTTTATTGACAGCTTCTTCATTTAGTGTCCACCTGGACAGCGTTTTCTCGCGTGCGTCATGACTTCCAAAAATTTGGAAGAGGTGATGTCAGCGTGTGGCGTTGATCCTGCTACAGCATCCCAGCTGATTTCAGCAGGTTGGACAGTTCAGTCCTTTGCGTTCTCTGCGTTGGATCTAGAAGCGTTTGACAAGCTATGGCCTGAGTTTTTCAGTGACGAGCCAACGCTGCTCCAGAAAGCCTCACTTAGGGCTGCGTTCCGAATGTGTCATGACTTGACCCAACCTGCACCTGCAAATCAAACACCTGTTGGTGGAACGGCCACTTCCGATGCATCGGCCTCAGCAAGCACGTGGGCAGAAAGCTTCCCACCGAAGTTGGACACAGCAGTGATTGAACAGATGAAGGCCAAATTTTTGGCAAGTTATCCCTCAGAGCTCCTCAATCATGATACCATGCCAAGTACGCGTTTACTGAGCCTTACACACCATCAGCTCTCAAAGAAACAGTGGTCGTGGATCCCCTGGAAATATCGACTTACTTTGGCAAAATCAGATGAAATCACTTCTCAAAGGCAGGCAAAGATGCCGAAACTTGAAGTGGCCACACTGCACAGCTTGTTGGTGGACGAGCCCCCTTCTATTGACATTTCAAATGCTGGCTTTGGGGTGAATGCAGTCCGTAACTTACTGGCAGTACATGATACGGCAGTTGCAATGTGTGGAGGCGCCCACCTAGCGAACCTCAAAGCCTATTCAGCGAAGTTTTTGAGTTTCCTTACACAAAGGGTGGACCCAGATACCATGTTGCGCTGTGCATCGATTACAGAGGCGCAAGCGGCAGACAGGCAGATTTGGGCTTCCATTTCAGACCTGATGTCTGAGCGTGGTTGGGATATGGATAATTGCTTACATGAATTCACCCATATCCGACATGACCTTCCAGGCCTTCTTCAACTTCGCCCTCGTCCAGTGAAGGCTCCATCCATGACATCAACACCCAGCTCCTCAAGCTTTACGAAAGGCAAGGGCAAAGGCAAGCCCTCGAAGGGCAAAGGCAAATCGAAGGGCAAAGGAAAGGTTCAATGGTTGACTGATGTCAAAACCAAAGACGGTCAGTGGAAACAGTTATGCATGCGATACCAAACAGGAGGCTGTTCGCTGGGAGACTCATGCAAATTCCAGCACCAATGTGCATACCCAGTTAACGGCCATGCGTGCGGTTTGGACCACGGTGCCCTTCAGCATCAGAATACGACCCACTGACTAATGCAGCCAGTTACAACAGATGATATGGTAGATCCTATTCCAACGTCACAGGAACCAGTTTCACTTCAAAGGACTCCCAAGGAGTCAACCCTGGAGGAGCAGCCAACTGATGTCACTTCAGTTTCACAGGTATCACCAGTGTCACCAACCATATCAGCACCTTCACTGCCTGACTTCGCCCAAGGCGAGGCTCGACTGTTTCTGGATATTTGCTCGGGAGCAACACGCCCACTGAGTGCGGCCATTTTGGCCCAACAGGGCAATGTACTGTCTTTTGACATTTTGCTGGACAAGCGTATGGACCTACTGAATGACCAGAGTTACGAACAATTGCTGCGAATTTGTTCATCTGGACAGGTGGCTTATGGGGCGGCTTCCCCTTCTTGTGCCCATTATTCACGGTTGAAACTTCATCGTCCAGGCCCTAAAGCACTTCGAACACCTGAAGCTTTAGACGGCGTCCCGGGCCTTAACAGCATGGAGCTTTTACAAGTCCAAGAATCTTTTATGATGCTTTTTAGAACTATTACCTGCCTGACGTTAATTTTTCAGGCAGGGGGACACGCTCACCTGGAGCAACCCCCATCCGCCATGAGCTGGTTGGAGGAGTGCGTTAAATCTTTTCTGGTTCTGATCTCAGCATGGTGCACGGTCATCTCCGCATGTGAATACGGCAAGAACTGGTACAAACAATGGATGTTTGCAAGCAGTTGGCAACAAATTTCGACACTGGGTTGTCTATGTTCCCACCCGTATGGGAGCCATACATCACTGGTTGGTACAAGATCGGAATCAGGCGAATTTCTCAGCCGGCAAACGGCATGTTATCCACCGGCACTGGCAGACGCTTTTGCGAACCTGGTTTCTCCTCTGGTTAACCAGCACTCCAAAGATTTTAAATGGGATGATATAGCACAGATTCCTCCACGCAAAGATATTTTTGACCCACCTTTCGGTCAGGAAGATGGGGGGGGCCTGCATTCCAACCCAGACTGGAGTCTTGGTGCTCGAACAGCTTCGGATGTTTTTGGTCCCTTGCGCAAGAAATGGATGACACGCATATTGGAATCCAGGCTGGACAAACAATTGCTTCAATATTTTTCGATGGCAGACCATTCCAACCCCCCATTTTCAGAAGCGGTCCTTGCTCCCTTTCGACAAGATCTGGAACAATTTTTGATTTCATCAGGCATGACACCCAACTGGGAAGTTCGGACACACCAACCCATGTGCTTGAATATTCTGCACTCCTTGAACACCTTGATGCAGGATCCGGACGATGCACTTTTCCCTTCACTTATTGCTGGGGTTGGCACAGGTTTCCAACGTGACATTCCATTGAGCAACTGTTTTCCGTTAAGCAACTCAGAGGACCGGGAAGAACCACCATTGTCGGCTCACCAGACGAACTGGCAGAGCGCAGAGGACGACATTGCCCTCGCCCGTGAGTTGGTGCAACAAGAGATCGACAAGGGCTGGGTTTTTCCATTTGAAGGAACATTGGAGGATGCACAACAGCAATTTCCCCTGGGGGTTGCCCTCGGAAAACTTGGCGTTGCACACTCGGACGGCAGGGCACCCAGGTTAGTCCTGGACAATACAATATGCGGCCTTAATGACCGCTGCCACATACCTGAGCGGAGCACATTGCCGTCGGCCAAGGATGTGCTGCGCACATTCCCTTTGCGAAATTTTTCAGGTGATCATATGGCCTTTTCCCTCGACATTAAGTCAGCCCATAAAAGAATAGTAATTCGAGATGAAGAATGTGGACTACTTGGATTTACGCTGCAGGGCCAGCTGTTCTTTTACAGAGTGGCCCCTTTCGGGGCCACTTTTTCGGCGGCGTGGTGGTCCAGACTCGGCGGCTGGATGCTGAGGCTCTTCCATTTTTTGGTATGGTGGGCTCACATAGCCCTATTATACGTTGATGACTTCTTGTTCTACCAGACCATGACTAGCATGCCCTCTCGGCGACAATGATCTGTTTGATTTGTCAAATCACAAACATCCCGGTCTCATGGTCCAAATGCGAACTTGCTTTTAGTATCCAATGGATTGGCTGGAAATCCATTTTCGCTCTGGTTTCATTGAAATCCCCATTGCCAAGCTCACAAAATTTTTGGGATATTTGCGTTCGATTGGTCGAAGCTCTCGCACATCCAAACGAAACTTGGAAAAACTGATTGGGTTAGCACTCTGGCTTACCCAGCTTTGGCCCTACATGCGAATTTGGATTCGTCACTGGTATCATGATTTATATTCAATTCCTGCAACACACTATAGTATCGACAATGGCGACTGGAGATCCTTTGCATCACATTTGGATGAAAATCTCAACATCATTTCTCGGCCCCAGGGCACTGCATTACCACTCGGCGGCAAATTGCTAGCTGTCCGCCATCAGAACATCCAGCAAAAGAGCGACCTTGCCAAGGTTCATCTCTCGAACAAACGTATTTGGCTTCGCATTCGAGACCCAGCTTCAACGAAGAGAACGCTATCTCCAGCCAGCCTTCGGATTGTTCAACACTTTATCCAATGGGTATCCGGTTTATCCCCCATGAAACCTTTAACACCGAAACAATACTGGGGGGGCACTGCCGCAGCCGACGCTTGTGCCTCTGGAAAAACTTGTGAAATTGGAGGTTTTGTGACCTCGCCAGCAGGAAAAACATACTGGTTTTCTGAGATTTACTCACATTCCGATTTCCTTGAATTGGGGGTGGAACTTGACCCAGAAATGCAACGATCAATTTCTTCATTTGAGACATTAGCTCAGATTGCCCTTCTATTTGTGACGGCACGATTTTTTCCAGCTCATCGCATGCCTATTTGCCTGAAAAGCTTGAGCGACAATACAGGTGCCGAATCTGGTAGCAATAAACTTTGGAGCATGACATACCCACTTTCCATTTTTCTTGAACGTTTGTGCTTGTTATCAGCCATGCTGGGTATGGAAATTGACGTTAATCACATCGCAGGTTCCGACAACATCCTTGCAGACGATCTCAGCCGATGGGACCAGATCGGACAGCCACCACATAATTTCCAATTAAGTGATCGTATTCGAATCCCATTGCCAGACCTTTGGAACATCCGTAGGACTCCAACGCTTGTACCATCAAATGCTTCTATCCCCTGGACACTTCCAACTGTGTAATCCTGATTCGCTTGCTGGAATTCTCCTCACTCTATATTTGGGGGATTAATGGCGAGTTGAATTCCCAGATAGTTTATATGGGGGTCTGATGTCCATCTGAAAATTCAACCAAATAAAGCTGTTGGTTGAGACCTCTGGACAAAATTATATCCAGCAAGCGAAAAAGGAAATAATATAAGACCGAGTGCATCAGAAGTCATTCTGGAAATTCGAAGAATGGAAGCCAAGCCTTTTTGGCGAATGAAATGTTTTTTATTAAATTGAAATATATTTATAAAATATATACATATTAAGATATGTATATATTAAAGAATTAACAAGATTGAAGTCCTTGTAGAACGTTTAACGTACTTGTTTCGTTTATGTTTTACGGGGTACTTTCAGATCATTGTTTCCCCTGAAACATTTTGGCTCAAGGACTTCAATCTTGTTTTGCGTTTTGCATGCTGTTTTAACTTTAAAAAAACCCACCCATCCCTCACCTAAGTTATACTTTTTGTTTTTGCTGTCATTTTGGTTGGGGTATCAGATTGTTCTCAGCTTCCTGGCATGCTCCTCCTTACCGGGCCACTCCTGGATTAGTTCTCGTTTCACTGCCGTGACATCCGTGACTGACCATACCGCGTTTCTCCGCCCTGGAGATTGATTCAGCCGACCTAGATGCATCCGATCCCATTTTGGCCTCACCATGGAGGCGTGCATTCGATATCCCTGCGTTTCAACCAACCATCCCTGAAATTGGGAATTTCGCAGTTTCACTCAGATTGGCGGCGTTTCCGTTTTTCGAACCATTGACTCTTCCTGAAGGAAGCCTAGTCAATTGAGTTGGACATCCCCTAAAAAAAAAAAACGTTACCTTCGGCTTTTCACTTATTCTCTATCATTGGGTCCCCTTACAATAACATGTTCTTTTGGTTTTATCTGCTTGCTTTCCATTGGGGGGTCTGATGTCCATCTGAAAATTCAACCAAATAAAGCTGTTGGTTGAGACCTCTGGACAAAATTATATCCAGCAAGCGAAAAAGGAAATAATATAAGACCGAGCGCATCAGAAGTCATTCTGGAAATTCGAAGAATGGAAGCCAAGCCTTTTTGGCGAATGAAATGGTTTCTTATTAAATTGAAATATATTTATAAAATATATACATATTAAGATACGTATATATTAAAGAATTAACAAGATTGAAGTCCTTGTAGAACCACAAACAGCACCGTAGTTGATCGTGAATTGACGCCATGGTTTCTTCGATCAGTTGATGATCTGGTTTTGGAGATAGAAATCGTTTCAGAGAGATACCTGGGATGATGGATGGATTCTGAACCGATGATTTCCGACTGGCTGAAGATTGGTGGAAGTTTTGCTTCTGGAGATACTCCTGGAGTATTGCTGAAATCAGTGATGGCGATGGTTATGGATATGAATCGACTATTTCGTTGTGAAGAGTGAAGCATTGGAGGGACAACTTTGTTTTGAGGATCATCCAGAACTGGATTGATTCTATCTTGCGTTCAAGCTGAAAGTGGATTGGAAGCAATTGAACTTTCAGAGACAGTTATTTTGGATATGTGTACAGAGATGAATGAATGACATGTCGAAAGGGGGTGTGAAAGTTTATGTCCCTTACAGGGTGCTTGGTTGGTGCGACCTGCCATTCATTAAGCATTTAGTAGTGAAGCTGGACTATGGAAGATGTCTACAGTCGACTCGAGCGGTTTCGATATTACTTTGTAGTATTTGAGATTGCAGGAGTTGGTTCGAGATATCGATCTATGAATCTGAGTGAATCTACATGAAGTTCAGGACACTTTGTGTACAGTGTGAAGCCTTATTTGGCTTTATGACTCGAAGCGAATGCTTCCAGAAGCATTCGCTATGCAGTTGAGTCGGGATGTTATGACTCCATCGATTTCGGAAGCTCTTTGACCTCTTAGAGGTGTATGAATCCGACTGAGATGTTTTTGGATCATCCATCTCGATTCTTGACATGGCTTCGTACATCTGAGATGTTGATGAAGCCTGTTTTGTTGCCACTTGCGAGTATTTGAGATACTTTGGCATTGTGAGGACAATGCCTACGTATCTTATTTGAGGTACTCCGGCATTGTGAGGACAATGCCTACGTACCTTATTTGAGATACTCCGGTATTGTGAGGACAATGCCTACGTATCTTCCTTGGCCTCTGGATATTTGATCTGGAAGTCTACTTTGTGATCTTTGCATCTGTGGCCTACAGCTGACGTTTGGTTATTACAGTAAGCGAACTACTTTAGCGCTATGACTGGTTATGAC